ATATATATATATATATATATATATATATATATATATATATATATATATATATATATATATATATATATATATATATATATATATATATATATATATATATATATATATATATATATATATATATATATATATATATATATATATATATATATATATATATATATATATATATATATATATATATATATATATCAAAAAAGTTATTAGATTAGTTTTAATTAGGACATGAAAATAAATATGATAGATAATTAATAATAAATAATAGTAATAAATAATTTATTATTAACATTATTATTTTTTTATTCACAATATTAATATTATAGATATGGATTAATTATCTCTTTTAAAATAAACTATTAAAATATAATAAATTCATAACTGTTAAATTAGAGTATATTTCAATTATAACTATTTTTTCTTCATACATAAATTCTTCATAGTTCAATGAAAATACCAAAAGCAAATTGGTTGTTGTACACTTTTTGTCTAGCATGAATACCTTCCATGTGAAAGATACCAACATATCCAAATAAACAACGTCGGTCTAAATAGCAAAACACATTTTTTTATAAAATATAAATCACATTACATTACTTTTTTTTTGTCTAATAGCATAGTGTTACAACACACACTTTATTTATAATTTTGCAGAACATGGTAATCACTGATATTATACACCAACATGGCCCACACTTCTTGAAATTGTCTTTTAAATTTCCTTAAATAATTACAACTCTAAAAGTTTTCCACTTCTCACCCAGATCTAAATCCAAGTACATAATAATTATTAATTATTATTATTAATTATTAATTATTATTAATTAATATGCTACAAACATTTCACCAACACTAATCATTTTCCTCTTCAACCTAATAATAATTTCTCAGTATCATAGTTTTCATTTTTTTCCCCTGTATAAATCATTCAAAATTGCATTCTTTAATCACTTCTGATAGTTAATCTCATCAAGAATCTTCTTAAAGATAGAGAGATCTATACATTCTGATCATTTCACATTCACATTAGTTATCAGTACTGAAAATAGTTGATTCAGAAATCTTCATCTGGAGCTAAAATCAAAGTAAACCCTTTAAAGAAGAGCCAAAAGGGTATCTGAGAATCCCCTAAATCTGTTAAATTTCTGTGGTTTTTGTAGTGAAGTGTGGGATTAGGGTTTTGAGCTACATGATGGCTGGAAATGGTTTTTTTTATCCGTTGTTTGGTTTTGCATCGATTGTGCTTTTGATTTACATGTCATTTGGGGATGTGAAGATGGGTTTTGAGGAAGATGTTGAATTGAGTTTTGTGGAGAGAAAGGGCTCTCAGTTTGTGTTGGATGGGAAAGCTTTTTACATTAATGGGTGGAACTCTTATTGGTTTATGGTTCAATCGGTGGATTATTATACAAGACCTAGGGTCAGTGAAATGCTCAAAGCTGGGGCTAAGATGGGTTTAACTGTTTGTAGAACTTGGGCTTTTAATGATGGTGACTATAATGCCCTTCAGACTTCACCTGGTGTTTTTAATGAAGAAGCTTTCAGGGTATTTTAACTTATGCATTTTTAGTTTTCATGTTGAATTTCATCTTTTGTTTTTGTTTTTCTATGTGTTATCATTTGTTTTTTGTTTGTGTTTTTCTATGTTTGATTTCAATGCTGACATAGTTTAGAGTTTGATAATTGTCTATGATGTTGGCTAGTTTGATTTTGGGGCCTTTTCACTTTCTTATTAAAGTAGGTTTGTGATTGACATGCTTTAGAAAAAAATGCATATGTCGGTTTTGGGTCTATGGAGTTAGTTAGATGCGGTGTTTGGAATTATTGTTTGATGAATGAAAACCATTTGACAGGCCTTGGACTATGTCATAGCGGAAGCAAGGAGACATCGAATTAGGCTACTTCTCAGCTTAGTAAATAACTTGCAAGCATATGGTGGAAAGGATCAGTATGTGAAGTGGGCATGGCAAGACGGAGTAGGGTTAAGTTCGTCGAATGATTCTTTCTTCTATGATCCATCAATAAAAAGTTATTTCAAAACTTATGTCAAGGTATGTTATGTCCATCCTTTTTTTTTGCTTTCCTTTGAATTTTGGCGCAGCGTCGTTGATTTTGTGTTTTTTGTTTTGCCGGGCATTTGAATTTTAGCTGCATGGTTGCAGCTTTCGAGTATGGTCGTGAGATAAATTAATTGTTTCTTTTTCTTCTCAACTTGTCTACAGGCTATTCTTACAAGAAAGAATACTATTACTGGAATTGAATATAGACATGATCCTATCATTTTTGGTTGGGAATTGATTAACGAACCGCGGTGTTTAACTGATCCTTCTGGTGACACTCTCCAAGTAAGTCTTGTGCATATCCTTTCACCCTTTCAAACGATTATATATAGAAAAGAGTGCACTAGCTAATTGATGACTAATTGGAAGTTGAAATGAATATTTGACTGATGAAGCACAGACAAGTCACCGACACTGACACGTCGACGCCTGTAATAATTTGAAAAAATGAATAACTTGAATGTATCACAGGTGTCGGCGTCCGACCTTGACACGGACGCGCCTTTTTACCGGTGCTACAGAGCTTGACCATTCTTTCCTTGATTTCTTTGAGTATACAATTTACTTAATTGCCATAGAACTGCAGGAGTGGATAGAGGAGATGTCAACTTTTGTCAAATTGATTGACAAGAAACATCTGGTGACTATTGGGCTTGAAGGTTTTTATGGTCCTAATGACCCGAAAAGGTTGACTGTCAACCCACCCGAGGGATGGGCGTCTAGACTTGGATCTGATTTTATTAGGAACTCTCAAACCTCAAATATCGACTTCACCTCTGTCCATATCTATCCTGACCATTGGTAAGCAAGCATTTTTTTAATCCTCCGTGTATTTTTTTTGGATTTCTCAGATTCTTAATAGAAGGTACGAAGCACTGACACGTTGACGCGTGTAATAATTTGAGAAAATGAAAGTTTTAAAACCGTGTCGGTGTCAGACACCATACACGTCTTTAATCTTTAATGTCGGTTGTTTCTACATACTTCAGAAGTTCTAGATAATTCCACCTGCAAAATGAAAGGTTTTCTGCTTTTAGTTTCTCATGATTTTATCTCTAATTAATAAACCATCTCAGATGAAAGGTTTTCTGCTTCTTGTTTCTCATGCTTCTCATGTTTGAAATTTTTAACCATGCCATTCAAAATCTTTCTTCTGATTTGTATTTAGAATTACACATTCTAAAACTTTCTTATGATGATTTAAGATAAGATGTATGGCTTTTTATTTTGTAATTGACCTTTTTTGTTGATTCATCTTTCATAAAAAACTTTTGTGTAGGTTTCATAAGCAAGATTTTGAAGTCTATATGAAATTCCTCACCAAGTGGATGATTTCTCACATTGAAGATGGTGATACTGTATTAAAGAAACCTGTTTTGTTTTCTGAATATGGATTATCAGACACAATCAAGAACTTTTCATTGGCTGACCGAGAAAGGATGTACAGAACAATATTAGACATATCCCACAAATCTGCCAGGAAAAACCAGTCCGGTGCAGGTGCTTTGGTTTGGCAGTTCTTAGTCGGCGGAATGTCAGATTTGATCGATGATTTCGGAATGGTACCGTGGGAAAGGCCGTCAACCTATTCACTATTTATTCAACATTCATGCAGATTAGCTCATGTCAACAAGGGATTGACTCATCAGAACCCGAGTTTCAAACGAGTGTGTTAGTGAAATTATGGAAATCATAAATCTAAAGGAAATGAATTCTTTTATAGTTGGTTTTGTGCAATATATATGTTATTTTCATAATCAAATGCTGGATTTGGGGGGCATAGTGGGGTGTATAGTGTTTTGGCATAGATTAGATAATCTATTTTAAAGTTTGTATTCCAGATATACAAAATTTATTACAAGCCTTTTGAGATTAGAAGAAAAAGTTTTTGAAAGTTATACAAGTGAGATTCTTAAATTCAATTTGCCTCCACTAGCTCTACATTGAGAAAAAATCATTATTATTGACTAGTGGTATAGTTGAGATAGTTATTATAAGTGGTTTAGAATCCTCACTTCATGAGCTTGCTTTTGAGTTTAATTCAAAATTTGACTTAATCTCTAATTAAGATGATATTAGAGTCTATTATAAATATTTATGTTTGAGTTATTTGATGTATTGTAGTGAGTTGTGTTCCCCCTATGTCATTGAAGAAGTTTAAATGCTTCCATTAATTAACATGAATATTTTGGTGTCACCTAAGTCAAATTTAGGTAGAAATATAATAGATGTTGGGTAGAAAGTATAGTAGACGTGCATTGTACACTATATGTGCATGAAATTTCAAACGATTAACCATAATAGCTCAACGAAAATTGAGCATTTTAGACATGGGAAATCACAAGAAAAAACACAAAAAAACAACACACACTTCTAAGTAATATGAATTACTAGATACATTAATTATTCAAACGGAAGAAATAGTAGTTTTCATAAATAACTAAATGAAACCTACGTGTGTTGTTTAATTGGTAATGTATAGCTTGTTTTTTTTTACCTGAATGATGTGTTTTTTTATTCTAATTAAATTAAAATAATATTCATTTTACCAAACTAACGTTATCAAGTATTGATATTATTTACCATTACTCTCAAACTAAAATTAAGTCATATTTTGACATACAATTGTATTTTAAATAAAATGCAAGTTATATATATATATATAAACTTTCATGATTATACGTGACAAACATTCAAGTTGCGCGCATTATAAAAAAAATACTTCCTCTTTTGGATTTATTTTGACTGCAATACTGCCAAAAATCTAGCAATCGAGTTTATCATTTTTTTCTTGTAAAAATCTCAGACTATATGAATTGAAAAAATCTGAATAATGTTACTACCATTCTATAAAATAAGTTGCGATCCCCGCCAGGAATGCAACACACATAATCAGAATATCTCCTACCAGCTACCAAAATCAATTTTAAACATGATAATTGACTAATTACAAAAGGCCGTCAAAGGAAAGAGAAAATAATAATCTCCTCCTCCACAGAATAAAGACAAAATGTAATCACAACCAAAACCATAGGAAAATTGGGGAGCAGAGCAAGTCTTAGCCTCAAGTATTCTATAGCCCCATGCATATATTTCCAATGTCAAACCTGCAAACATAATCCATGCCTATTAGCTAGAACTGCCAGAAAATTCAAACAATAAAAAACAATTATCTACAAGGAACACCATCAGACAAACACAATCGAACAAATCGGAAACAACGAAACGGATGGAATACAGGAATACACCGTGCATAGACAAATGATAGCCAAGAATCAGTAATAACTAGTATATTAGAGGATCACTGAGAACATCGCACCAAAAGTTATGTTATGGGCTTCACCCAGAAAAAAATGGTACCCAAGGCCATTGTTATTTCAAGAACATCCTACCGATAGTTATGTTATGGGCTTTGCCATAGTTTTGTCAAGAAAATTCCCCAAGAGCCCGAATAAAAATCAACAAATTATGAATATACTGAAGTGGTGGCCATCGGTTTTTGAAAAAGTAGCATGGTTCATACCACTCAAATATAAGATACATATAATAAACAAGAAAGGAGGGTAGACCAATATTGAGGCCATGATGAGGGTGGACTTCAATAGTTAAAGATAAAACAACTTGGATTTTACAAAAATATAGTTCAATATATTTAAACGAGGAACTATAAACCAAAACCATCAAGGATTGGGATTAGTGGTGGTGTTACTTAACATGATTTGTTTCACGTAGCTAATCAAAATTAACGGGAAAGGCTTTTTTGTAACTTTTGTTATTGTGTTCGTATATAAAAACAAGAAACATTACCATATACAGATGTCTCAAGTCTAGCTCCATAAACCACGTGATGTAAAAGGCACTCCATCAATTCCAACCCTACAGGAAAAACATCAAAACAAAATAAGGCATCTTGTGATGCAACCATTCGTACACAAAAGGCAGTAAAGCACGTACTTCTCCAAATTCCTTGTAAAAATCAAATTGGAAGCTTAAGACGATAAATAAATTATTAAATGAAGTCTTCCACCAATTTGAGTTCAAGAGGCCCAAACAACCGTAGAAAACAAACATATCAAGAATGTGAAAAGGTTGAAATAGGCCAAACAAAGGAAAACGGAATTAAACAGATGCTACAATGCAGCAACCAGCACAGGAATAAGCCAATCTAAGGCAAACAAACAAGTTGTAGTTGAACAGGGGATCAGAGCCAACCGATATCAAGCAATAACCAGTGCATGAACAGAACCAAACACGCCCCCACTCAAGTCCTGATTTGTAATTAATAAAAAAGAGTGTGCACTGTATAACACCAGGCACCAGCAATGACAAGTAAAATAAATTTTTATAGGCCAGCTGGAACTTGACTGAAAAGAAGAATATAAAAGGTCTTTGATTCTATCATAAATATCTTGAAATTACTTGAGATAAAGATTTAATCAAAATAAATTAAGGGAAGTATATTTAAATCATGAAAAATAAACATTATAATTGACCCTTGTTTGAACTAGTCCATTTTTGCAATTAATAAAAACGAGTGTATACTGTATGGCACCGCAATAACAAGTAACAAAAAAATTTAGGCCAGTTGGAACTTGACTGAAAAGAAGAATATAAAAGGTCTTTGATTCTATCATAAATATCTTGAAATTACTTGAGATAAAGATTTAATCAAAATAAATTAAGGGCAGTATATTTAAATCATAAAAAATAAACATTATAATTGACCCTTGTTTGCACATGCCCTGTTTTGCAATTAATAACAACGAGTGTATACTGTATAGCACCGCAATAACAAGTAACAAAAATTTCTATAGGCCTATTGGAACTTGACTGAAAAGTAAAATATAAAAGGAACTTGACTGAAAAGTAAAATATAAAAGGTCCTTGATTCTATCATATATCTTGAAATTACTTGAGATAAAGTTTTAATAAAAAATTTAAAGTAAAACATTAAAGGTCTTTTTTTTATAAAAGTTATCGGTTTATAAATATCAACACCTTATTTACATTAATACATAAATATAAAAGGTCTTTAATTCTATCATATAACTTGAAATTACTTGAGATAAAGTTTCAATAAAAAATTTATGGGAAGAAGTATATTTAAATCATAAAAAATGAACATTATAATTGAGCCTCGTTGGCACAAAATCAATTCCCTGTTTCAATGCCATTAGTCTAGAAAGGAATCATTGCCGAGAGATTTTAGGTTGATCCAGAAATGTTTCCCTCAATTTGAAAATAACTGATATTCAGTTATGCCAAGGTAAAAACTTCCAAGACTGTAAACACAACTGATAAAATACTATTTCAATTCTAAAGCATGATGCCAGCTAAATAGTTAACATAATCAGCAACTGGCCAGCTAAATACTAAACAAGACAGAATAAACAAAAAACACGTGCTAATAAGGGTTCAAGTCATAACAAATAACAATGTGAATTGTAGTCATTGGCTGCACTTCATGTAACATTGGAGAAAAGGGTATACTGAGCGAGCATTCAAATAACTAAGTAATTATTGCACAAGCACAGTGCCAGCCAATAAAAAAAACTCATTAGATATGAAAATGATGATAAAAAATATGACAAAGTCCCGTTGAAGTCATTAAAATGTCGAGTTCTCAGCTAATTGTGTGCCTGTAAGCACTGTGCTCATGCAAGAATTAATTGTTACTATTAAGATGTGGTTAGGCCTAATTCAACCCTACAAAACCGGCTTGTAGGGTGAGGATTGCCCCCACTTATAAACACATGTTCAGGCCATATATTGTCCGATGTGGGACTCTTAACACACCCCCTCACGCCCAGGACTAGACAACTGGAGCGTGGAAATAAATGGTGGATGGCCCACTGGATCTTAGACGAGGCTCTGATACCATATTAAGATGTGGTTAGGCCTAATTCAACCCTACAAAACCGGCTTGTAGAGTGAGGATTGCCCCCACTTATAAACACATGTTCAGGCCATATATTGTCCGATGTGGGACTCTTAACACACCCCCTCACGCCCAGGACTAGACAACTGGAGCGTGGAAATAAATGGTGGATGGCCCACTGGATCTTAGACGAGGCTCTGATACCATATTAAGATGTGGTTAGGCCTAATTCAACCCTACAAAACCGGCTTGTAGGGTGAGGATTGCCCCCACTTATAAACACATGTTCAGGCCATATATTGTCCGATGTGGGACTCTTAACACACCCCCTCACGCCCAGGACTAGACAACTGGAGCGTGGAAATAAATGGTGGATGGCCCACTGGATCTTAGACGAGGCTCTGATACCATATTAAGATGTGGTTAGGCCTAATTCAACCCTACAAAACCGGCTTGTAGAGTGAGGATTGCCCCCACTTATAAACACATGTTCAGGCCATATATTGTCCGATGTGGGACTCTTAACACACCCCCTCACGCCCAGGACTAGACAACTGGAGCGTGGAAATAAATGGTGGATGGCCCACTGGATCTTAAACGAGGCTCTGATACCATATTAAGATGTGGTTAGGCCTAATTCAACCCTACAAAACCGGCTTGTAGGGTGAGGATTGCCCCCACTTATAAACACATGTTCAGGCCATATATTGTCCGATGTGGGACTCTTAACAGTTACAAACAAGTGAAAGGGAAATTTCCTTGCCTTCTTAATAACATAGAGGCTTAGGTTTTTAAACTAAAAAGTTCCTTAACTGCAAGACACAACCAAGGAGTCACACAATGACACAATGTACGGGAAAAAAATCAATTTTATCAGCTCAGTAGTAGGATTGTCTTTTAAACTTGTCCTTCAAACAGTGTCTACCTCTTTGAAAAACAAGAACGATTATGCCAAAAATGTGGTCTGAACATGAAAAATAAACCCAAAAAAATGGACAGAAATTACCTTGTGTCATAGTCAACTTTGAGGCTTTTTCCCAGTGACAATCTGGGATATGCGGAGACCCCGGCTGAATGCTTCATTGAATAGAATTCTAGTTTGCATATTTTGAAACCCAGGCAACCATGACAGTAATGCCACGGGGGCCATAACAATGACTCCAAACAATATATCATACAGACGAGCCACCGCAACAACACCACTCCAAATGATACAAGATTGCAACTGTGATCTGAAAACTTGGGCAATCAATATCAGGCCCCACCCCGTGGGAAGGAATGCCAACAGGCTAGTAAAAATATCCACAAAATTGAATTCTGTGAATTCCAGCAAAGCAACTACCACGAGTATTGCAAGAATTATGACAAGGAACTGGACAAGCCGGTAATAGATATGCTCTTTCGCCGAATATTTGTTCCGTGCATACACTACCACAACATAAATCCCAGATACAACAACAACGTAGATCCATGACAGCGCGTAAACAGCAACACTATGATTTCCAGCAGAAATGCCAAGCTGGTAGACAATTCCATACTGGAAAAAGAAGAACCGAAGGTCTAAGATTATTTCAAAAAGCTTTCCCCAATTGCCAGTGACCTTTAGATGATCCTGCTCTTCATACCACCACCTTTCCCAGCTCTGTTCAGCTTTAGCAAACACACTTCCATTGTACCAAACCCAGTTCATAAAGTCATCAAAGTCATAAACAGTTTTTAACCAATCAAAGCCAGAAGGGTTGAACATAAACGGTGCCAGCACCCATGATGCAACTAAGAACCAACTAGTAATGGTCATGGCTATATAAACAAATGTGTCAGATGCTACAGGGCTGTGTGTTGCATAAATTACAAGTATTAACCCTAATTCAATTGCTTTCACAAAATGACTACGGGAAAAGAGTCTATAAATTTCAGCAAAAGACTTATGCTCTACAACAAAACCACGGCCAGTGGCTCGATATTTTGCTCCACCGTGTAGAATAGTCCGGCCAAAAAAATGACTGCGAGTGCCCATAGAGAAGGTGTAGAAAACTGATGAAAGCTGGAGCTGCATTGTCAGGAAGTCCCAGATAGCTTGAAGGAACCCATGCTCAAGGGAATTCTCTATAATCATTGGAAGGGCGGTGAAAAGTCCAAGTTGGATGATGAACTGCTGATTTAAGATGGTACCGAGTGCTTTGTTGTTATTGCTGTTACTTTCCATTGATTCCTCAACACCACTGAGGGCAAGATATAGTCGACCCCATAAAAAAGCATATACTGTCAGAACCACCATCATTGTGTTGAAGAAGAATCCCACAGTAGTGTAAAAGAATGACAGCATCCGGAAAAAATCCAGCCTATGACCCAATCTGTACACATCTCTACTGAGAATCTGTTCGCCATTTCCACTGGCAACCTTGGCTTCAAACATTGAGACTTGATTCAGACCAACATCCCTTCCCTTTCCAACCTGAATGTATTCATGGTGAGTGACATTACCTCCGCGAAGAGTACAATTGAACCCAGCAAAGATATCCTCACTAATGTTTATCACTCTGGAAGCTTTACTGATACCACCTCGAGTTAAGAACCAAAACCTGTCAAACACGTCTGGATGACCGTAATGCATTCTAACTTTCAAAGGATTTGCCAAAACCCGCTGTCCTAAGGTGACAAAACTTGTCTCCTGAGCTGACATGAACCAGGCAAGAGAGGACACAGAGCCAGTAAAAATGTGCTCCCTGACTCCCAAAATTGTTGGTTTCCTGATGCCATAGTAATGCCTGTACTCTTCCAGGAGATTCCTCATTTTAAGTGCCTCCTCAAAGTAGTTGTCCTGATTCATGTCAATAGTCTGCACGGCATCTCCGCGAGTGAAGATGATTGCGTGGTTTTGATTTTCGGGTTTTCCTTCCCCGAGCTTCAACGGACCTGGCAATTTCACCCTGTAAATTTCCACCTCCTTCTCTAACTGTTGATCATACTTCACCAGAACGGAGAAATAGTCCTTCTCGTCCCGTCCGGTAGTTTTTTCATCAACGTATGCAACTCGAAGAGCCTCA